CAGTCTAGGTCTCTGCACAGACCTGCAGAAGGCGACTGTCTATCACAACATGAACAAAGTGGTACAGTGGTATCTTTCATTCCTTTCAGCAGATCATCTGTCCGGTCGAAATGGCTTCCAGCTGCGGTTACACACCATAACATGCCCGTTTCCCTCCTCCCCTGAAATCACTGTAAGGAGGGTGCGCATAAAACCATGAAGATGGGAAAGAGGTGTGTCCAGGGAGGAAGAGAGAGCCATGAGACCACATGTTTTATCAGCACGAAGCTCTAATGACTTCATGTGGTTTGGGAGAGGGCGCACGGTGAAAGGCTTTCATGCACTCTGGATCAGATCGAGCCCGTTGACCTGCGGATTACTGTAGAGCCCATATGAGAGAGATGAGCAGCCCGGCGCGCTGCTCGCACTGTGTGCCAGAGGAGACGCTGCGCTGCTGTGCCTACTCTCCACTGTTGAGCAAATGAAAAATGGGCTTGGCATTTGCGCACAGGCGCCGCATCCTTCCGACTGCCTAGTATCTGCGCTCTAAAACATAAAGAACGCGAACATACAATAGAAACGCGCGGATGTAAATGAATGCAACACATCAGGGGATGGTTTAACGCTTTAGATGCACGATCTTACTGCATAGAAAGAAGGAGTGCGTTCGTGAGGCACGCACAGCTATGCTAGAAACCCTTTAGGCCCTCAGATGCAAAAAGAAGCGAAAGATCCAGAAAAACGGGAGGGGGGAGAGCAACGTGAAGAGCTGAGCCCTTGCAGCCATAAATCCACACGCACACACTCATGCTGCGCTCAGACGACACAAAGAAAACTAATGTCCACCGCCACTAAACAGAGTAAAATAACAGCGAAATAACGTCACATTGGTGTCCTCCCGGGATCCTTTAACAACGAGGTCATAAACGCACCGGCGGATTTGTCTTGTTGCGGCGCGCAAGGACAATACCCGAGCGGCTGAAGCGAAAGCTTCAGGAGCTGCTCCAGATGATGACGGGGAAAATTTTGGTGGCGACGAGGGGAAAACATCCAATGTGCCGTGTTTGTAGGGAGGTGACCGCTTCCTAAGGGCTGGAGCGACGATGACTGCAACAAAAACACGTTTTGTCTGTTTATTGTAAACGATGCACGGTGCAGATGGAGCTGGCGCACAACCCAAACATATTAAATAAGCTGCTACAGGAGAATCTGTGCTGACATATATTGTAAGGGAAATGCTTTTCATCCATGTGCATGATATTTCTATACGTGAAGCGCACAGAGGCCCAACCTCTCCCATCTCAGGCAAAAATATTAAGGGACAAGACGAAAGGCGATGGAATCGCGACGCGGCGTTTGATCGCATGTCGCCCGCTCGCTCTGATGTTTCGGTGTCACTGATCAAATAAAAGAAATACGTTTGGGTTTTTCTTACCTGGGTGCAGACAGCGGCGTTGTGTCTTCAGCGGCAGTCGCTCACCGGGCGCACACAGCTCGTCCTCGCAGTGCAGCGGCAGGCCGGAGCGGGGCGCTGCGGAGCGGCCACTGGCTGTCCAGAAATGCAACCTGTCTGCTCACAGCAGCGCCAGGTCCGCCAGCTTCCATGTGCACAAAGAGAAGCAAACACAGACAATGCTTCACTGACATTATATAGAAACCCTCGTACACTGCAAAAACACACACTATTAGCACTTCACACACGAACATTTGTCACATCTCCATTTGTTATGTACGACAATTTCCCATTTTAAGTCTCAAATTTTGAACAATACTGAATGTTGTGCACATTGTGGCCAAAGGTATGTGGACACCCTTTTTGGCACCACTGACTACATGTAGGCTCTACTGTACTTTGACATAGTTGTATACATTAAAAAATAAAAGCTTGAAATATCCCATTTGCACAAGTATTCAGAGTGTCAAAACAAAGTCTGAACACTGCTGTAAATGGGATATTTCAGTCTTTTATTTTTTTAATATATTTACAAAACACCACAAAAACCTGTTTTCACTTTAACACTGTGGAGCACTGCATGTTGACGAGGAGGAAAATGAAGTGAATTCACATTAAGATGAGTCTGAAACATAACAAAATGGGAAAAACCTGAAAGGATGACATGATCACTTCTGGCCATTTTTAAACTCTAAACAAATTCTGAGTTGTGTTTTCTTAACATGCTTTCTTCATTTATTTTTGTTGCATTTATAGTATTTTATTACCATCTTAGTATATGAATACAGCCAGTATCTTTCTGTGTCAGTATCTGAACAATGAAGCGCTTTAATAAGCTGCAGCCTGAGGAGGAGTCAGTCATTACAAACTCTCAGCCAAACTTTGTTTAAACCCACAAATCGCTCTTTATATAGTGGAGATCCCAGCATTTCCAAAGACAGTAGATATGACAGGTTCACATAACAAGACATTGTAAATATTTGGAGATGCAGCTGTAAAACGCAGAGTCCTGGGTTTGAATATTTCATCCAGTATAAACATCATCTGAACAACTTTAAAGCTACTTAAGGGGAAACGGTCATATAAATAGCTTGAATGTATTTAAAACCATGCAGCGATTGTGTGCGAGACACAGAGTGAACAGCAGCTACAGTAACTGATCAGCAGGGTCAGCACACAAAGGCAGAGTGTTGGCACATAAAACAGCGGAGGCCTAGGGACCAAACAGTGCACCCTTGTGTCACTGCTCTTTCACTGTCACACACTGGGTGCCAAATTTTACAGTAAGTCGAGAAACCATTCAGCTTTGGAAAACAGCAGTGGAATTATTGACAGTCAGATGTGTTGCAAGAGTGTTTGTGCCTTCTTTCTTTCTCATCTCTTTCTCTCTCCTTTTGGATATCAGCCCAGTACAACAGCTGCCACTGGCTGTGTGGCTGATGATGATTTGGACTTTTCCTGTGCTGGGAGTTCACTGCTGCCATGGGATTCATCTCAGGCAGTGCCTGATACCGGAGTGCAGCTGAATAAGATGAAGACTTAAACCTGTAGTTTGTTTTTATGTTCTGGGAGGAGTTTGACCATTTTGGAAATGTGTTTATTAGATTTAATGCCGAGGGTTAGATGAGATGATCAGCTCCACTCTCATGACAGGAGAGGATTAGCTTAGCATAAAGACGGGAAGCAGAGGCTAACAAAATCCGCTTAGCTCCAGTGCCTCTAATTAAAGCTCATAGTTATTCCAGCTTGTGTTTAATCTTCTCTACTCCACTCAACAAAACCAGCAAAGAGGAACAACACCTCCCACATCTAGATGTTCAACATGAAGCTTAGCCCAAAAACTGGAAATGGGGGGAAACAGCTCAGCCCAGAGATGGTAAAATATGCCTACTAGCACCTCCAAAGCTTTCCAACTAGGTCTCATTTGTTTAATGTATAAAAATGCAAGTGATGTCAACACTCCAAGAAATCATTGCCCCCATCTGAGAAAGAGTCCAGCACACTTTGATTTTCATACAGAACGAGAAAAGGTGGAGAATTAGTCTCAAAAGTAAACAGTATTGTAGAAGCTCCCTGAGAGTTATGAACAGGTACTGGTTGGTGAAGCATTAATGTGCAAGTAGCATTTTACTGTTGTAGACAGTGGAGTTCAAGCTAATTTTAGCTATTTTACAACTGAGTCGTTTTATTAATAACAATGTCATGTGTAACTAGAAACTGTGAAAAAAATGCAGTGGAGTAAACAGTCCAATATTTCCCTCTGAATTATATTTAGGTAGAACTGTGCAAAATGAGTACATGTACTACATTACACTCCACCACTGCAAGGGCACATGTACACACTATGTACAAGTGTTTGCACTTACTTGCATACAAGGTTTTACACGAAGTGATTTACTGACAAGTCAGTTCAAATGGAAACAAAACAATCTGAGTATTGCACATGAGAAAAACAGATAAACAATGTAATAAAACTAAGTATCAGAGAGAATAAACAATACATCTGAGATCATAACTGATTCATTAAAATAAACAATGGCCACGTCCAGCTGCTATCCCATTATTGGTTCAAACATGGATGTGGTCCTTAACAAAACAACATCAGCTGTGTCCTCAAACCAATGAGAACTCCAGAGAGAAAACTGGATCCACTGGTGTCAGCGAGTCCCTTAAAGTGAAGACAGCATGGCCTGGTTAGTAAGAGTGAGCCAGCTGTTTGCAGCTGAATGATTTATGGGCACCAATTTTTTAGTTGGATTTCTCACTCGATGTTTTGGTTTAAGATCCTGTGGTGAAACGATGCTGTGAGAAAAACATTTTCTGCTGTTGGATAATTACATCGTGGACCATGATGCCCACGTTTAGTCACTGACAGCAACAGTCGGCCGCCCTTTAAGCAGCTCCAGAGTGAAAAGTATTTGGGAGCTGACTGTGACAGAGGATTCAGATCAGAGCTGGCTGTACAAAGGACTTCACATCACAGCTATGAGTTCTTTAACTTTCAAGTTTCTCTGAATGGAAAGTATTTAAATCCATAAGTGAACATCAACCCCCTTACCCTAACTGGTAAAAAAAAAAAGTTGGTAACATCCAAATCAGACAGACAAGTTGTACTAATGGCCCTGGATTAGTGTCAAATAACTCACATTTGTCCAACACTGTCTCAAGTGTATATAAAAATAAAGCCAGGTGCCCCACTGCCAGAGGGAGCAGATAATGGGGTTGTTAGTATCAGAACATCTGTACAAAGCGCAAGGACTTGTTGCTGAAAATAATTAAACACAAAGAGATTAAAACCAACCACAGAGAGACTCAGAGCCACCACACAGGGACTCTGAGTCACCTCCTCTGAAGAAGAAAAAAAAAACAAAACTGCACTGACTACTTCTTTCACATTGTAGTTCAGTACCTGTTATGTATCTTGGGACAACAATGAACAGTATGCTCTTTCCTGTACATTTAGTTATAAAAGCTGCACAATTTTCCTCTTTAAAAAAGTAACTTCCTCATCACAGCTCAGCAACCAAAAATATGCTAATTTTTTAAAACAGCAGAGCTGCTGCTGCTACACACCTAAAGGGTGCCGCTCATTTATTAAAATTACTTAGACTTGTCCGATAACACAGAAGCACTGTGCAGTGCATTTTTGGTGTTTACATTAGTCCACAGTACTTAGTGTTCTTTGTTGAATTGCAGTTAAAAGCTTTAGGTCTCTAAATTCACCACCTGACTGCAGCTCCTCAGTACTGCCACAGTGTGCTGATGTACTGTATGTGAAAGAACAGCCTGAGGTTGGGACACTGGAAAAAGTGATTCTGCATCAGTCTGACATCTAGTGGACAAAACGTCACACTACAATTGGGCTCTGACAAATGAATCTCTGCTTTAATGCTGCATACGAGCTCACAAGACTTTTAAAGTGATTACATTGTTTAGAAATAATCTCTACTACCCTCTTGTTGGAATAGACATTGATAAAAAAAATGTTACCATTTCTAAAGCAAAACCACACTTGAAAACATGTTTATAAAGTCTCTGTATTTTTTGTTATTTATCATCTACTAGGGAATAAGCAACATGATGCTTTTATATGTATTGATATCATGTTCATAACAGCCCCATTATCAGCCGCCTTTTTAAAAGCAAATCTGAGCGTTTTTTTTAAAAAGTATCTTATTTAGAAATCACCAAATCTGGTGATACATGGTTCTCACTGACAGGAAGGGTAAAAAAAAAACTTTACTTTGCAAAGTAACTAGTAACTAAAGATGTCAGGTAAATGTAGTGCAGTAAAAAAGAACAATATTGCTTCTGAAATTAGCAGAAATATAAGGTTGCATAAAACGAGAATACCCAAATGCCTCAGATTTGTACAGTACTGGAGTAAATGCTCCTAGTGACTTTCCACCACTGCGCCAGACAACACTAGCTACTGACTGAACCTATAGTCTACCAGTGCAAATGCACACGTAGGCTACATTGTAAATAAACATATGTACATTGCAAACACATACATACGGATTCAGCAGTATATTAGCAAACACAACAGCCAGCAGCACAACATCATGCACAATAATACGGAAGCCATACATGTCAATAATTCATGTTAATCACAGTTTGAGCAACAGCACGGCAACCATGCTTCAACAATAACGCAGCTAGCTTATATGGCAGTGCCAAGAAAAAAGAAAAGTATGTACTGACAGCCATGTCACAGAGAACAGAAGCAGCACAACAGCAGATACTTATCTTAACTCCGGGAATAACAGCGAGCCGAGAGCAGGTGAACAGACCTCGGACAGGGAGGACTAAGTCCGACAACAAATACAGGAAAACTCGGCGTCTTTCCATCATGAATTCGCTGGCAGTTCATCGGAGCTCAGGTTGTAATTTCCGCGATACTCACCTGAGTGAATGTGATTGGATGTTAGTGTGAGCCAATCACTGTGTGGCATAAGCAAACGGCTTCAACTACAGTGCTAATGCTACGTTCATGTTATGTCGTTTAAAGTTTAAACGGAATTGCGACTAGCCGTGTGGAAAATCGCCCATAGTTAGCTAAACACCATATTGTAACCTATAAAAGTGATTATTCGTCTTAAAATGTGTAGACTGTGCATTTACACCTAGTGTCATCTCTAAACAAACAACCGTAAATATGTAGCTAACGCAAAATAGCCTGATCTAGCTAGTTGGTTGGGTAAGTTAGGATGCGTTCTCAGTTGACCTAACGTTAGCTGCCCACACATAATAAAATCCGCTAATCTGAGGAAAAGTTATATATATGTGTTACCTCGTCTCCTTTTTCCTCCACGTCGTTACCATGGGAACAATTTTCATACGCTCCATTCTTCCGACATAACATTTGCAGCCCTCTCCTAATATTCCGTTTTAGTCTAGGTAAGTTAACCATACCCCATTTTGTTAAATTATGTAAATATAAATTTTCGACAAAATATTATTTTAACAAGAAGGCATTCATTTTTTCTTCAAGGCTGTGCATATGAACGAAAACCACAAAATATGAAAATAGTCACCTCTTTCCTATATGTTTTACTTTGCTTGTTCTCTGCATACATTATTGAACTTTATTTTCTTTATATGATCCAATACAGCATGACTTCCAATCGTATAGTTTGGTCCCATTACAGCTGTAAGAAGTCACTCTTACTGAGAGTAATGATGCAACAATATTTAGCAAAGAGCAGAAGTGAGATACAACAACATACACAACAGAGCTTATTTTGGTACTATGAGGCAGCTATTCAGGCAATAGTCCCATAGAAAATGTTTCTGTGGATATCATAGCTTCAATTACAAAATATGCATAATTTCAGCATGAGGACAGATTTTCCTGTCATCATTTTGGGCAAGAACACAAATGTTTTAACAACATTATTCTTGGCACAAAGTAACCATCTATTGTCAGAGGTTTCTGGAAAACTTCACCTTTCTACTGAGGTAAAGAGCAAAAGATGATGATGTAACAAAACTTCCTGAGAAGAAACAATACAGAGCTTGGTGTCCAAGCACCAGTGCTGCCGCTGCTTCACTCTGCTCGGCGAGGAGTGACATCTAAGGCACTGTCAGGAAGTTCGATCTGAAAAAAGGCAATTTCCGCCAAGGTTTCACAGAGTGATTGTTACATTAAAAGAAATAAAACAAACATTGAAAACTGTGTTCGTCTGCATGTACAAGGGGATCTTTTTGCTGGCTTTTGCATTCAAATAGGCACTTAGAATATTATGCAATGTTTTGCAGTTTAGCCTGTGCTTTTGCAAAGCATGTCAGTCTTTGGCCACTACTGAGGAGAGCAGCTTTGCTGTTATGGCTGTGTGCAGCAGTGAGCGTGGTGATATGCAGGATGCAGCCTCCAGGCTCTGGCATCTTTCAGATTGGTGCATGTTGTGCCCTTTGACCCCTAGTGTCTCTGAGGCTACACTGTAGGTCAGTTAGAGGATCGACAAACTCTCTGGCTGGTGGTGGCTGGACCCTCCACCCACCTCTGTTTTGTGTTCAGATGTGGGGAAGCTGTGTACTCCCCCTCCTCTGGACAGGACCATCAGGGTGTCCCCTGACATGCCCCCGAACTCAAAGGCAAAAGTCCCATAGAAGAGCATAATGAGCATGCAGTAGATCCACTCAAAGATTGCAGAGGTGTGCTGCAGGGTGAAACTTTCCTGGCAAAAGAAAACTGCACCTAGTGATCAGAAGTTAAGAAGAACAATGGCTGCACAGCAGGAGTTAGATTATGTCAGTGAATGCACAAACATACAAACGGAACCCAAAATGTATTCCGTAAAGTGATGTGCAGCAGTTTTTTCCCCACCAGAGGGCCATATAACTCATCCGTGTGTCCACCTCGGAACTGGGGGTGCCTCTAAAATTACAACCTTTTCTCACGATTACAACTTTTAAATCATGTTAGTAAGGGCCAAAAGCATGTGGACCCGCCTGACCACATACCTTTCTCTGTTGTTATTATTTCTTGGATTAGATACTGAGCTGATATTTTAAACAACAATGTTTCCAACTTTGTGTCAACAGTTTTTGTTTGCCCTCTTCCTGGTTCAACAATACCACAGTGCACAAAGCGGCTCTTTAAAGAAATGCTTTTCTTAGTTTAGTGTACAAGAACTTGACCACCGCGCATGTTTGGGTTTCCACATACTTTGGGCCATATTTTGTGTATAGCTGCAGCCAATGACTTTCCAAATATGACAATCTGCTTTATATCCAGGGCTTAAACAGTACTGGGTATAATAAATTCATATGTAATTAAAGGAAAACATTCACTGTTTGCTGTTGCTCAGAGATGAGAGGGAACTGAACAACTGAATCTGTTTAGTCTTTTTTATTAATTTTGTTTTGTTCCTGAGATTTATTTTATTTTTGATTTATTCCTCTTTGTGTTTGTAAGTAACCTCAATCTATTGAAGAACAATAATAAATTGAATGACTGCTTTGCAGTTAACTGTATATGACTCCACCAACTACCAACCAGTAAAATTCACAGGAATAGGACAGACACGAGGATGTAATGACTGTGAACGTTGAGCACCAAACTTCGAATTCATCCTTGAGTCCAAGTGGACATTTGTACCAATTCAAAAATCATCTGCATACAAAGCAGCAAATAGCCAGTCATTACACTCTGAGAAATTGCCAAAACAAAAGACAGCTTACTGTTACAAGAGCATGAAAGCACCAGCAGAAATGCCCTCTGTCCTCGATTATTTAAAACATGCTACCAACATTTGTTCCACTTGTGCTCTCCATTAATCATTCCCAACATTTTCTCGAAGGAAGTCATCCTGATCATTTCATTTACTTCTACTAATACACTATGTTGGAAGGATACTGAGCACCAGGGCGATCAGTGCCAGCAGGGTCATCCCCACACGAACGTGACCTATCCAGGACTCCTCCCGGGTCTTGGCCAGTCTGTAGGTCAGAGCCGACTGAAGGCACACAAAGAGCATGCTGGACGGGAAGGCAACTCCAGCGCCGACATAGTGGAGGACTTTGGCAAAGTCCACCTGAGAACACAGACAGAAAAACAAACAAATCACTGAGATGGAAGAGTGATGTGTAATGAGTGGTATCCAGTGTAGGTCACAACGGGGAGGAAGGCCATAAATGTACATATTTACAGCCCATTTCAGAAGCTGTACCTTAAGGAAAAAAGATAGGGTTAACATTTTCTTATCACCTGAACTTTGTCTGCTATGGGGCAAAACAAAGTAACCTCAAATATTACATCACCCACTGTCTGTTATAACAATGGACATCATTATACACAGCTGGGGTTTCATTACCTTTTCCCTTCTCAGATCCAGGTCATTTGTAATTCATCGCCACTGTGGTCCAGACTGAAATATCACAACAATTATTTCATGGATTCTCAAAAAGTTTTGTAGAGACATTCATGGTCCCCAGAGTGATAGTTTGAGTTTTCCTCTAGTGTTGGGTCAAAGTTTTCACATAACCTAAGAAATAGTTTAAATGGATTGGGACAAAGTTTTTTTCAGAAATCATTGTTTCCTAGATGTTGTAGCTAACTTTACAGATTCTCTGACCTCTCCTCTAGTGCCACCATGTGGTTGACATTTGTAGATTTTCACATAAAATCTCAAAGTATTGGATGGCTTACTATGACATTTAGGACTGTAACTATCAATCAATCAATCATAATCTTTACTGCCAAGTATGTTAAAAATACAAGTGTGTGATTCCAGTTCAGTGGCCCCCAGTGTGCACCAAATACAATAAAATAAAAACAATAAAAGACAGAATAACAAGTAAAAAATAAACAAAGTATATGTACAAATATACAAGTCTAAAAAAGAGCTGTTTGGTGTATATATCTGAACGTCATTGCTTATGGCAACATCTGGAAACAAAAAACATCAACACAGGTCATTGTGACCTAACTCCAACACTTTGGGTAATGATTTGTTATTTAATCATCTGGCAAAGTTGCATCACAGTAAAGGACAAGCTGCAACAGGAAAGTAAAGGATAAAAGATGAACTCAGAGGAAAAAAATAATGATAATAATTTACAAAAGGAACAAGATCATCTCCATTATGTTTAGTGATGCTGAAAGAGATGCAGTGTCAGTTTGAACTCAAGAGCTGAGAAGTAGAGATGACCTGATATATTATTTTCAGAATAGTTCCCGTACTTGTCATACACAAATGGCAAAGGTGGGCAGTGGGAAACATCACAGCTGTTTAAGCTGCATAATTACACTGCAGAGACACAGCAAACAACCACGGGCACATTTTGCTTAGTTTACATGGGTGCTGGTTCTACACAGACCACCTAAACCACTCCTGTCTCCACCTTTACTAGAAATAAATTCACCATGGATGTCAGAGGAACATCAACAAATTTAAGTGTTCACCATTTCCTTGGTTTAACTTATAAGAAGGTCCCACTATAGAACTCAAGTCTGGGAAAATCTATATTTTAACAGATGAACTGTTAAAAGTTCTTCGAAAGCTAAAACTGTGTGGACACTGAGTGTTACTTATACATTTTTTGGGAACAAGTGAAATTATTCAAGAGCAAGTCTAAAGAAGTTTTGGACTTGCTGTTAAGTTCCTGTGTTCCTGCTGTGTTCCTGTGTTCAGGAACACAGGAACTGTGCCTTTATGCAGCCTGGTTTCATGATTTCCTGACACTCAAATTTCAGCTGCAGTGTAAACAGTGGCCCTCATGTGTGTTTAGCTGTTTATCACTCAGTAGATACAGTGTCAATCCAACATAGGTTTATATACACTACATCACCCACTCCTGCCATGTTTACTCTGAGACAAACACTGAGGTTCGTTATGTAAGACAGCATAGAGAGGGAGGAGGACACCAAGAGGACGAGGAAGTAGATGAACGACACTTGGCATTAAAATCACCTACTGTATGTTTCAACCTATTCTGATGGTCATTACATCACACAGATACGCACATGTGGCTGCGAGGGCCGTTTAACACGATGTATGAAGGCTTTGCTGAACGTTGCAATCTACAACCTCACCGCTAGATGTCACTAAACCTCACATACTACAGCTTTAATGTAGTCACTGAAACATACTTTTTATTTGTTTTGTAAAAAGAATGATGGCACCAGAGAAAAAGAATGAAATCGTCCTCTGGGGATCATGAATATTTAGTGCAAATGTAACGGCAATTCTTCAGGACCTGCTACAGTATTACTGACAACCAATAATCTGCAAGTTTTAAATGCATTTGTGTCTGTCACAGGAACCATTTCATGGTTTTCTGTGTTCTTACCATGAGAAAAGATGATTAACTGGTATAAATCTTTAGCCTGCAGCAGAGATTTTATCCATTAGCCCTAAGTATCAGGATGGTCTGAGCTCCTCTGTGTCCGTCCCAGGTTATCGCTGTGCTGTTTATGTTATAGTAAGGCCAGAGAGCATCTGCTTTCAGTTTCCATAGCACTGGCCCATAAACCCAGTCCTATCTAAGCAGCAAGATCTTAATACTGAATCAAGTCAGTGTGCATGTTTTAACCACCTGCTCATTTCTAATGGCCAGACAGACACAGATAAGGTATATGATTTGTATCTTAACAATTTTAAAATAAATGCCAAATGTTATACTGCTGCAATAACAACCAGCCCTGCTGAATGTCATTACACAAATCTGGGATGCTCTTCAAAAACAGGCAAACACGCAGCTCAGTTTCAAGCAGAGCAATGTACAATACCCGGAGGCCAACAGTGAGATAACAATCTCTCTGTGTGAATGAATACAAATTATATAACAAAAATTTTGAAAGTGCAGCATGTTTTTGCAGAGCTATGAGGTTTATTTATTCACTCTTTTGAGTATGAAATTAAACCACAACTGATATTTTTCAGCTATTATATAAGACTGACTGTTATTGGGAAGAGTGCTGAGGATGGAGCTGGTAGGCAGGAACAGAAGAGGAAGACCAAGGTGGAGGTTGATGGATGTGATGAAGGAGGACATGTAGGTGGTTGGTGAGACAAAGGAAGATGCAGAGGACACAGTGAGCAAAGCTAGAAAACTATTTTGGCTTCTGCTCATATGTAAATGAGTACAATTATGGAGCGTGGCATACAGTTCTTAGAATAGAGCCACAGTGATTTATCAGAAAACAAAGTTAGAGACAAACTTTAACAAAGTTATTACAATCCATCCTCAGGGGAACATGAAAATCCACCCAGTAGTTGAAACATTTCACTCAACAACACACATGTCAACCTCACGGTGGTACTAGAGATCAAATCAGGGGGTCATTAGGATATGTCATCTAGAAACCATGAATGTCTGTATAAAATTTAATGGCAATCATATAGTTATTTTCTTGTGCCCATCCCTGAAGGTGTGTGGCCCCAGACAGTGGTTGTCCTTATGGTAATCCAGCCTTGAACATAATGTCTGATTTTCTAACACAGTTAAACTCTGCATCATCAACATCAATATGAACCAAGATCAGTAATGAAAGTCACTATACCCTTAAACCAAAGAACAAACTATGTGTTGCCGCCATCAGTCATTGTCAGAAAGTGACTGATTCCGCACACAGATGAGAGTTAAGGGGAATAAAGGTCAATCACACCTTTGTATTGTTATTGCTGTTTTGGAAACTGTGTGAGCTCATAAACTGCCTCCAAATAAACAACCTCACACTACATCCTGAAGCTATAATGAGTGCAGACTGTGGCTACCTGAAAGTTTCCCACCATGATGAGCCCAGCAGCACAGATCCATCCGGTGGAGAGGCTGGCTGTGTTGAGAACACAGTTCCGGTGTTTCTCTATGACATGAGCATAATGCAGCAGGCCGATCAGCATCACTGGAGGAACAGACACAGAGAGAAAGATGTGAGAAATGACAATGAAACACACAATCAGGTAACCACATGCTCTGTACCCTGTGTTGTCAAAGTACAGTCTGTAAATCAGCCCCGCCTGCCACCGATCCAAGTTAGAAGAAGGGTTTTTCCAGCCACCAGTAGTCATGTCAAACAGGACATGGAGGAGCTCTGGGCAGCTAAAAGTCTGAACCAGCAGCTGCCAGAGTGAAGAGGTGGCGTCTTTTGCACAGAGAGAGGGGGACAAAGAAAGAGCAACAACCAGGGTTAACATTGGTTTGGCTGTTTGACATGGAGAGGGTTAAAAGCAGCCAGAGGACTCAGGCAGATCTCAGATGTGGTGTTCTTCCTTCTGGGTGTGTTAGCAGCTAAAGCTAACCTGCTTGTTTTGGTAGCATTAGCCACCCAGCATGGTCAGGATTTTACCTTTGTGTTGAATTA